CAGCAATCGCACCGGACTGAAGATCGCCTTCCAAATTCCCCGGATCAAGAAACGCTATGGACATCAGGAACCCAGGCCCAGTGAAGAGCCAGAGCTTCCTCCAGGAGAAGGGCCGTGCGAAATCGGACGCGTCGGAGTCGGAATCAACCCCGACTATGTGGATTTTCTCGGAGGAATCGTATGCCGTCTCTTCCCGCTCGTCCGGCTCCTCGCCGGCGATCAGGGGCTGCCGTTGATCCTGCGGCAGGGCAGCCATGGCGGACAATTTCCCGAAGCTTGGGGAATCTGGGTTATCGGATTCGGAGCACTGGGTAGCTGAAGTAAGAAGGAAGTGAGTGTGTAAACTCCACGATGGTTTCACTTTTTCAGCTTTTGACGAATGGTGGGGGTGGTGCTATATATAATGACTCTTATCGGCTGCTTGTTTGTTAGTTGCTGCAGGTGAGAAAAGGACGAGAAGAAGATAGCAAAAGAACAGAGGAGCTTTGGGAATTGAAAGAGACAGAGAGATGTTCGATCTATCTATCTACCAGTGGCCGCGCCAGGCTACCTCGTGTTCATTCCTAGTTTCCCCCGCCAGCTCTTCCCTTTTCCGATTAGTTGCTTCATCAATTGGGGAAAACGTCATTCAATTGGGAAATTCCGAAACTCCACGCAAGAATCTAATTGTGGTTTTATAGGGGTAAATTGCATTTGTGGTCCACCGACTATGTCATGTTGACAACTACATCCTTAGATTATTACTACTATCAAATGCGCCCTTTATCAAATTTCAGTCCCTTTTGTATCATATAATACTTTTCTATGTCAAACTCTATTACTACTGGAGTTGATCCATACTTATGAAGTATTAATTTTGATGGAAAATCGAGGGGTGAAATTCGAATCCAACATATGAAATATACAATCAGTCTAATTTAGAGTAATTACGCAAAGAAAAAAAGAAGTATAATCGATAATTGGCATAGACGAGTATGGTGTCGCTCATTTAAAGCTTTGAAGACTTGGAATGGGGAGCTCTAGGGTAACGAGTTCCTGAGCCAAAAACATCATGATTAGGGATGGCAATTTCGACCTGGCCCGTTTTACCCGACCTGTTTGACCTGTTTTGGGGCGGGGCGGGCATGGGTAGTCTTATCGACCCGACCTGCCCTGACCCGCCCCATTCTTGACCCGTTCTTATCTAAATTACATGAAATCTTAGTCAAATTACTTTGAATTTTCCTTTTATTGCATCATATTTTAGCTATAACAAAGTTGTAAATTAGTGAAAACCTCAATTTCTTCAATAATTTAACTACAATTGTCATAATATTGTTTGTTTTCTTAGTTTTATAATAAAAATAACGAATATTTCTAATGTTTTTCATATAAATTGCATACCCATTGGGTCGACCTGCCCCGACCCGTGACCCGTGATCATTTACCCGACCTGGACTCGCCCTGCCATAGGACGGGTCTGGGTACCAAGAAACCCGCCCCGGACCTGCCCCATTGCCATTCCTAATCATGATAAAGATAGAAAAGTGAAAGGAGATAGAATTCCAGAAAGAGGAAGAGAGTTGCTCAAATATTTATACCATATTCATGAGTAAGGTTGTATTTAAAGACCTTGATTACCTTGTGCTAGATTTTCCAATCCTGGAGATTGTTTCTAGAAAGTTGTCTTGATACTTCCCCAAACTGTTAGGTGTTTTGGTCCTCTTGAATCGAGCCACGCTTGAACCATTTGGTCTCGGCTCGTGATCTAGGCCTTCTTCGTATCACATATGAATCATCAAGGAGATACTTGAAGTATGTATTGAATATAAACCAGGATAAATGACATATTACCCGAACTTATTTGTGAAAAATTGTGTTAAATCATCATAACATGGGAACTAGAAATTCCATTGGCCTTATTTTATGCTTAATGATTTTAGTAATTAGTTTGGCGTTACAGTTAACGCCAATGATCTGAGCTGAGGTTCCGCTGTGCCGTTCAAAATAATCATATATACATCTATTTGTTTGCGTCCTACTTAGGTGAATGACCCTATCTTTGCTAGGGTGTTCAAATGGTTACCATGATTATAACCAAACTAAATAAGGCTAAATTCCATTAACCATGGAATACAATATCATAATCAAACCGTCCAAACTAATACAACAACCAAATTAACCAAACTAAAGTTTAATCGGTTTGGTTAATTGGTTAACAAGATTAACCAATATAAAATCACATTATCATTGACGATGAAAATTTTCCGGTTAATACAACAAGTCGCAATTTATATAATGAATAAAATATAACAATCAACACGTAGTTATAGTTGACCCTTAACAAAAATACATGCAACTAAGACAATTATCTTACGATTAGTATATAAGTATTCACCTAACAAAAATTTATGATAATGGTATGGGTTAATGAATTGTTGTATTTGTGTAAATTGACATAGTCTCTTGGCAATTATCATAGGCTGTAAGTGACCTTCCTTTCAAGTTTTCATCCATCATAATGTATTAAATTTATCTAAATTGGGCGTCCATATGTTGTGGTCTACATTTTACATATACAAATATACACTATGAGCAATATTGAGCTTTATATTTTATGAGTCTAAAAGGGATGAATGTTAACTCTTGAGTGGTTATGCAAAGTATTTTTTTTATAACGGTTATGCAAAGTATTAAATATGTCATATGTGTATATAATATATGTTAGATATATGACTAATTACTTAACTGGTTAATTTGGTTTGACTGGTTAGGAGTGTCTGAAACAAAACCAAACCACCTAAACCAAACAAGCTAAAAACTTTAACCAAACCAATTATCCAAATTAACCAAACCAAATTATCCAAATAGTACTGATTAAAACGGTTATCATGATAACCAAACTGTTTGAACACCCCTAATCTTTGATGGGTATTCTTAATAAATGAGTGCCTTAATTTGAATGTTTAAAAGAATATGCCAAATTGCCAATGAATCTTTTCTTGGTTGCCTAACCGAATCTAGAACCAACGATGACATGGACCGGATGACGTGGCTTGCCACATGCGCAGTTCTGATGACATGGACGGATGAGAAGAGCCCGAGGAAGTGAAGGACCAGGCAGGAAACGACGAGCTGCGTGTGAGGAACGAGCCGGCTTTCGTTGTTACCGTGGTGGGCACGTGCGGCCCACGGGTGGATGTGGGCTCTCTATTCTCTAATATTTTAATGGACGTCCACGGCCCATCGTACGCCACCACGAGCGGGATGACGGCACCGAGTTCACCGCATGGGAATTGCCACCTTCTACTAAGGCGACAACGCCGCTTGGAACGATTAACGATCGTACTAGTAGGTCAAGCAAGGCAATTATATCGACTGATTCTAGAAATCGATTCTAGAAAAATTATTTTTTTCAAGTTCATTTTTATATATATAAAATATTGTCATTTTTAAACCTTCATTACTTAAATGAAGAAAGAGTATTATAAGCAACTATATTACATTGTATTTATTATTATTTCTTTGATTAAATACTAAAAATATGTTTGGTGATAATGCTTTTATATTTATATTTATATTTTATAGAAAGACATTAGTTCTTGTTTGAGCCTAAGTGTAGGAGTGAGATTCGAGTGAAAATGGGGCGAGAAGAGCAAGTAATAAGAATCTTCTATTCAGTTGGAGGATTAAGGTTAGAAGAGAATGTGATTGTGGGGTTAATTGCATAGTTGGTCACTAAGATTACAAAAAAACGTTCAAGTTTGGTCACTCGAAATATTTAAATCCATTGGAGGTACTTCAGTTTACTGAAACCGTTCACCTTTGGTTACTCTCCGTCCAACTCCGTTAACTTTTGCTTGTGGCAGTCAACTCTAAAAGTTGACCGTTAAATGTATGACGTGACAATTTAAAAATAATAAATTAAATTAAAATTTTCAAAATCGTCAGCTCATTTTCAACTTATTATCACTTTTATTTAAAATAAATACAAAAAACTACTACTTAAATATTATTTATACCAATACGCAAACTACTACGGGAGATTGGATAATCATTTTCTCAAATTTTAAAGGTGTCCCACTACCACTTAAACATTTTTTTTTTCCTCATATGCAAATTACTATCGTAGGTTAAATAATCGTGTTTCCAAATTTTAGGGGTGTCCCGGGACACCCCTAACCATGCATGTATCCGCCACTGCTCGCACTCCTCATCCGCTTTCTTAGCCTTGGTTGTTCGTGCCCGATCTTCTCGCCGTCTTCGCCTTCCTTCTTGCGTTTCTGCTGGCTTTCGCACGGTTAGAGTTGATTTTAGGGTGTATTTTTTCATCTCTGCGGGTACACCATGTCCCCCAGGCGGTGTGCGTACCCTATGACATCACCGTCTGGCCCCTACATTTTATAGGTGCTGACGTGGCACTTTGTCATTCACATCACTAATATATAAATCAATTAACCAAAAATAATCTCAGTCGTCGAGATCACACGTACAGTCAAGATCGCCAAAATACGTCATACCCCAGATTTTACCCGGAGTATCATAGATATCGCCCTTATCCATACGTATTTTAAGTCCCGTACATTCGGTTTTGGCCCTTATTAATCATTTTCGATGCCCAAGAGGTCGGGGCCTAACCATGGTGTTAGTACAGTCAGGAGTACCGGCCTAGTAGTTGCCTAGTTGGGGTGGCTCCATACAGCGTTAAAGCCGAGGCCCAAATGTTGCAGGCTCCCCGTGGGAAGCAAGAATTGCCTCTTGGAAACTTATAAATGGGCCGGCCATTAAACAAACCAACTGCGGAGCCCACTCCCATCCCATACACAGTTAGCATCCCCGTTGGAAAGGGAAGGAGGAAAAGAGAAAAGAAACAACCTACCGTTCAAATTGGGAATTGGCGTCACCCATCCGTCAACCGTTTTATTTGGTTGGTCACGGCACGCCAATACAATTTTTCTAACCACCATTCCATCTCCTATACACCTCACTAATCTCCTAACCTTCACTTACTTACTTACTTACTTACGCCTCCTTAAACATCCTCTTACTTTGCCTCAATTGACCCATTACGAAATTCAAGCCCCTCCCCATGAAGAAATGATCGAGAAAAGAAAGCATTTCACGGACATTCCTGTAAGTAGTTCTCTCATCATTCACTTTCTCAGATAAGTATATGTCTCCAAATTCCAAACAGAGAATGATTGGGGGGAAAGAAATCATTAATGGCTGCTAAAATCATAATCTTACAGTTGGAAGATAGTGATGATGAATGGTGCGCCCTTCTTATGCTTCTAGCTAATCTACTAGCTTACCTGCTGGTTCTAGGTTCGAACTTTCGATCTTTCTTCTTTTCCCGAGCTCGATCTTCTTCCCCCCTTTTGGCAACGCCCAAATGATTTCATTAATGGTGTGGGAAAATGCAGGTTTCGTAATAGTAGTGATTTTTTTGGTGCTGAAGATTTCGGCCTATTTCATTGATTTACCATCGGGAGAAGGAGAGGATGACGACGAGGCAACCGAGACCGACCCATTGCTGCTTCAGCATAAAACGGCGTCGTTGTTTGCGTACGGAACTTATGTGGCGCCAGCGCCGGCGGGGGCGAGCTGCAGCCGGTCGAATGAGGTGGATGATGATGGGTCGCAAAACGACGTCAGATTATGCGTTATATGTTACGACGAGGAACAGAATTCGTTCTTCGTGCCTTGTGGCCACTCTGCAACTTGCCTTGTTTGTGCCCGCAGGTACGCAAAATCAATGATTGATTGCTCTCTGAAATCTGAATTTGTTTCTATTCTATATGCGTTTCACTTTTTTTTTGTTTGTTTGGGTGGTTTTATGCTTTGTTATGTCTCTCTTGTGATGCAGGATCTATAATGAGGAAAACAAGGTTTGTCCCGTATGTAGAAGAGTAATTGGCAGAGTCAGGAAACTGTGACGAAAGAAGAAACTATTTTTTCTGTTGCATGGCATTTATCTGAAATCATGGTAGTAGAGAGTTTGTTAATAGTTCTCTAGCTCGCTTGCCTGGGAATTTGGCGGATGTACCTAACTGATTTTTGTAATGATAGTGTGCAGAGAGGCAAGGATGAGCTAGCGTTCCAGTCATGTGAGTATATGTGGATTACGCCAAAATTGATTACAGAATTGCTCAACGTATTTTGGCAGTGGATAAAACAAACAAAAAAAATTCTGAACGTAATTGTCAAATTGCTCAAAATTGGTTAGGTTAGAGGGCTTACCACAATTGCTCGAAATTTGTTAGGTTAGAGAGTTTATCCACTCCCCCATCTCACGTCTCTCAACTCAACTTTCTCTAGGGCTGGGAAAACGGTTGCGGTTTCGCGGTTAAACTGATAACCGTACCGAAACCGCGCGGTTATTGGTTAACCGCAAACCGCATATTTTTCCTATTTTGCGGTCGCGGTTGGAGATATGGGCTGTTTTGCGGTTTGCGGTTTAACCGCAACCGAAACCGCAAATCCATATAACCGCAAGGCTAACCGCGACCCAGACCCAGCCCATAATTGACCCCCAGCCCAGCCCAAAGTTGACCCCCAGCCCAGCAGGCAGCAGCCCAAACCCGACCCGGCCCCTCCCCCACTTCTCCCTGCCGTCGTTTTGATTTGACGAAACAAAAATCGAAAATCCCCTTCGACCCTTCGTTTCGTCCCTTACCACCAGCAACTGAAAACCCTTCGAGTCGAGCTTCGACCCTTCCCATCTTCCAGCTGCGGCGCTGCCATCCGCCCGCCGCCGTCCCTGGCCGTCCGGCGTGTGCATTTGTGGATTGTGTTATTTGGATATGCAGACAGATGCAGGGGCTTGATGGAAGTGAAAATAGACAAAACAGTAGCTGCTGTGTTTTTTTTTCCATGAATTTTTTGGGGTTAGTACGCGGTTAATTGTCGGTTAGATTGCTTAACCGCGGTTTCGTATACTGTTTCGGTTGTTGCGGTTTTTACAACCATAAACTGCGGTTCACCGCTAACCGCGTTCTGCGGTTTTTGGTTAACCGCTAACCGTGAGGGACGCGGTCGCGGTTGGCTAATATGGGTGTTTTGCGGTTGCAGTTAACCGCAAATTGTGGTGCAGTTAACCGCAACCGCACCATTTCCCACCCCTACTCTACATTCCTCCCTCCGCTAAGGTTCGATACCAAACCCCAAAGTTAAGTAGAATTAACTAAATTCTAGACTTTGATTTGGAAGCAAAAATATAGACTTTGATTAGGAATCCGAGCTCAAATTTCAACATTTCATATTTTCTGGCCTCTCCTTCATTTTCGCCGGGGACATTACTGTGACTAAAATTAAATGTCGTCGTTGGAACTCCTTTTTTTGGCTGAGTTGCGTAGAACTAGCCGGCTATTTTCCCAAATCAGAAACTCTTCTGATCATTTTCTCCATCCTCTCGACACCAAAAGCCCCCGTTACCAAAGGGGAGGTTTTTCGACGAGCCAGGAATTCAACGCTTCTCCATTCTCGCTGTCTGACGAAATAGTTTTCATTTAAACTGTAACGATTCTATTTCCACTTCTCAGTAGGGGGAATCGCTGATGACTCGGTATTTGCACATGTTTTCCCCTTTGTTTCTTGATTGTTTGAGCTTGAATTACCGTGTCTTTGGCCTATTTTATGCTAGGTTGTGTTCCTTTGTCACATTTCAGGTCCTAGCACATAAAGTGAAGCATAGGCGCAAGTTTCAAGTCAATCAGAGATCAATTGGCGATTCGGGAGCAGAAACTCGGGCATGACCTGAAGAAGAATTGATTTATACCTCACTTTATGGACAGAGAATCATGCAAGCTTGTTATGAAACGAAAGAGGACGAGACTACGAGCGTCTGGGATCAAACGGCGACTGATTCGGAGTCCGGACGAGGGAGAAACGAAGCATTAAACAGAGGCTGAGCAAGCTGCACGGGCAGACCAGGGAGGCGCACGGCCGTGCAACATATAATTCTGGCCGTGCGCTCTCTGCCGAGGCCTTGCACGGGCAAAATCCAGCCTTGCACGGCCGTGCACCTGGCCGTGCAAGATGGCTGAGATCGATTAAGTGAAACGGTGCGTTTTGAGGGTGCACGGCCAGAATGGTGTTGTGCACGGCCGTGCACCTGGCCGTGCAACTCGGGGAAGCCTGTTTTTAAGCCTAATCCGAGCCAAAAGGGAGGAGAGCTGGGTTTTGGATCCCAAACACCCAAGGGACGAACCCTAGAGAGAGAGAGCGACTTGGAAACATTCTTGGAGCTATTTTGGAGGATTTCTTCGCCATTGGAGCTCGGGAATCAAGCTTGGAGATGGAGATTGAAGATCTAGATCAGATTTCTGCAGTCTCTCTCTTCTCTATGGAGTAACTTCCCTTCACTTAGGTTTTGAGGAACCCTAGTTCCATGAGTTAGGATCTTTCTTGTATGAAGTTTTGGATGCTTTATTGTTTGATTATAATCGATTGAGGCATGATTTATTGAGTCAATTGAATCTTGATCAAATTCTCTTGATTTCTGCTTTAACCTATGATAGATAGAATCTGATTAGGTTAAGAGAGCTTCCTTGATTGATAGTAGTGAATTGGTTGTGCGAGAGTCAATCAATTTACTGCTTTGTACTGGAATTCATTCCAGTAGTGGAGATCTGTGTGAATCGCCTTAGCAGTCTATCCCGGTGAAGGCTAGTCGTCTGTCGGGTATTCTGTTTGAGAGGGCTTGGTCAGCTTAAGAGATTCCAAGCTAATTTCGGATCTTCCGCAGTTTAATCAACAGTAGAACAACCAAAGGTAATTGCAACTTGGACCTAATTGAGGAGCTAGGGGGAATCATACCTAAGTGAGTTCCCAACTTGTAATTAGTAGAGTAGTTAGTAGAGTAGTTTAGTAAATCAATCCTTAATCTAGTTTGCTAGATAATGAACTGAAGCTGAGTAATAGTAACTCTAGAGACCCGTGGATTCGATATTTATTACTTGTGCCACTATACTGCAGTCCTTTTCATTGGTTACACTTGGCCATTGTTAGGTGTTGTGTTTTAGCGAGTCAAGTTTTTGGCGCCGTTGCCGGGGACTTTCTAGATTATTAGGAAAGGCAGAAGTTTGTTACTTTAGCTTTTTTTCTTTTCTTTTCCACCCTTGCTTTTCACTTGGGTGTTTTTTGTTTTTGTTGGTGCAGATCTGAATCATGGATCCTCATGGCTTCTCCAACCATTGGGGGTATCCACCACCATCCGAGTGGTATTACCCCGAGACCCCCTGGAGCAATCAAGGAGGAGAAGACTATGGATTCGGGTTTCAGTACCAACCCCCATCCTACGAAGAACAATCAGACCCCTGGGTACTTCAAGAACAAGCTCCTTATCAAGAAGAATTCCTCCATCAGCCAGATCCAAACTATCACTTGAGGCTTCTCGTGGAGCAGATTGCTCGAGTGCCTGAGACATCCTTTCCAAAGATGGATATCCCAGACAATGCCCAAACTGGGTTCTCCTACCGTGAAACAGAGGAGACCCTCCTGAGCATAAAGAAGAGCCTCGAGGATCTTGAGAAAGCTTATGCACAACCTGCTCAAGATCACCCTTCTGCTATCATACTAGAAGAGGAGGAGGAAGACGAAGGCTACAAGGACATTGTGGAGCAAACAGAAGTTATCACGGAGAGCTCCCGTGAAGATCATGATCAAGAATGTCCTATCGTAGCCGACCACACCTTCCCACATCCCAAACTGAGCTTTGAAGAGGCGGGCATGAGTGAGGAGATGCAAGAAAATCGCATGAAAGAAATTGCTTGGCAACTTGCTCTCCAATCCGTGCTAGAAGACGAAGAGCAAGAAAGGGTTCAGAAAGAAGTTGTGGAGGATGACGAAAGTGAAGCAGGAGGAGTTCTTGATCATTTCCCAGGGGTGATACCATATGAACAAGGAAGGGAGGTTGACGAAGCAATTGTCGTCCAGGCTGAGGACGAAGTTGAGGTGGAAGAGGCCTGCACCGGCCATGAGTTGCATGTGATATCTCCACCAAACGTCGAGGAACTACTTAGCAAGGACCCATTTGCAGTGTCTCTTTGCCAGACCAAGGCCACTTCGACATCGGTCCCTCTTGGTGGACGCGATGGTGGTCAATCGATGTTGTCATATCTGGTTTGGGGCAATGAGACGAGAGAAGAGAAGAAGAGGTCTCGAGGGTGGAGACTTCATCTGCATCAAGTGCACGAGCTTCCATCACCTGTCATACCGCATGCTCGTGACTTGAGACTCCACCTCATAGATGAGAACCTCAACTTCAAGGAGGTTCTAGCATGGACCGAAACTTAGGGGCCATCGTCTGGCTCACGACGTGAAAGAAGCGCTTGTTGGGAGGCAACCCAACCAGTCGGTTTGCATTTCTTTCTCTATTTATCCTCGGTTGAGTCAGTTTTGTTATTTGATTTTAGAGTCAATAACTCAACCTTTGTGAGATTTTGTGTGGTGTTTGTGTTCTGATTACTCTCTCTTCCTGGAATGCACCGCCTGACCCGTACATCATCATTCACCCTTGATATGGTAACTTCGTTCTACCCTCCTTATCTTTCCTCCATTGAGGACAATGTCATGCTTAAGTGTGGGGGGGGTGTTCGATTATGTATGCGGGTGAATGTTTGGCTGTTTGTGTGCTTGGAGCCTAGTCCACTGTCCAAATTTTTAAATTTGAGGGCTCCAAGTACGTGTTCCTTGCAATTACCTGCTCAGTATGCTTTGAATTGACAGTCTCTGTAGTGGTTTGCAACCTAGGGAGGTAGTGTAGCACTATGGAGGATGTTGATGCATTTAAGAAGTCTCATTTCTTCTTCATAGTGTGTTGGTTGATTGAGTGAATTAGTGATCTTAGGACCCTTGAATTGTGTGGTGTTGTGGACTTTCTGCTTGTCATGGACTCTTGTATCATGTTTTGAAAATAACAGGTGCTCGAAAATGTGCTTTAAAATGACGTCTCCCGTGCGAATAGGGCGAAAGTGTGTAAGGGGAGACGGGAATCCGTTCCCAATTTCCACCTACTACCTCCAGCCCCCTTACATGTCTTTCCCCCGCACGAGGCTCGAGACAACTGCTCCTGGCATGGCCGGTAAGAGCAAGGCTCCCGCAAAACCTTTGCTAGGTGGGAGCCCCCGTTTTCTACAAAAACAGGTTGGAACCCTTGAAAAAAAAAAGAGAAAAACAGAAAAA